CTTTAAATGAAAGGGTTCGACAGGAAAATAAAGAAGAAAGCAAATAAATTTCTGGGAAAGTAAATGACTTTGATTAATAAAGTTGGTGTTTCACACATACATTTCTCAACAATTCTTTCTCACACGCTGGGTACTCGAATCTATATGAGTGACTTTGTATATAATTGTGAACACACGCGAGAAACTACATGACTACTACTATTTATACTAAAACATCCCAAGTAACCGTCGGGCAGTTACACTGCTTCGAGATGATTCCACTTGGCACGTTCTCAACGTTCGACGCTCCAGATCTTCGCACGTTGCACTTGGTAACCGCTGGAAACCGTTTTCCCTCCAAACGCTTGAATTTCAAACTGCTCCACTCTGAACCGTCGAACACCTTCGTCGAGAAACTTCTTCGACGAGAAACTCCTTCGACGTCGAAGGCAACCAACTTCTCCCTTGGAAGAAATCTTTTAAGTACCTTGCCATCTTTCGATGGGCATTTCGACGGACCTAGCTAGTCGAAAACATCTTTCAGCTTTAATGGCTGACATTAATAAAACAAGGGTGTCGAATTTAGGAGCCAACGGGGCTTCAGTACTTTGATGAAGAAAGCAGAAGACCTTGGTAGGTTTAAGCGATTCACTTTTGACAGTTTTAAGGAGCATATTTCTCACATTCAATTCGTGGATGACATAGTGATTATTGGAAAAAAGAGTTGGGAGAATGTGATAACTCTAAAAGTCGTGCTAAAGCTATTTGAGTCGATCTCCGACCTTAAAGTTAATTTTATTAAAAGTCCGCTCATCGGTATAAATGTCCCTCATGATTGGCTTAAAGAGGTTGCTAGCTGTTTGGGATGCAAGACTGTCGGCTTACGTTTCAAGTATCTTGGCCTCCTCATTTGAGCCAATCTTAGGAGAAAAATCACTTGGCAACCAGTCATTGATTCTGTGAAAAAATATTATCAAGATGGGCGCTTAAAAACTTATCCATAGGTGGCAGAGTTGTTCTCATTAACTATGTCTTGTATGCGCTTTCAATCCACTTCCTTTTCTTCAAAGCTTCATCGGGTATTATCTCATCTCTCGAGATAATTTTTAAGCAGATTTTGTGGGGTGGGAGTGAGGAGGATAAACAGATAAATTTGGTCAGTTGAAATTCTATTTGTAGAGATATAGATAAGGGAGGTCAGTTGAAGTTCATCGTTAGTAAGAGTCTTACCAAGTGCCTTTAAATGATTTTTCAAATGCACTAATCTCTTTTGCAAGTCGAGGATTAAATTTTCGGGTTGTATTCTGAATAACTTGTACCCTTGACTTAAAATGTTCAATCTAGATCTTTTAACTTCAGTGGTTCCTTCATGAGTTTCCACCAATATATCTCATATTTCTTTTGTCATTGTATATGTTGAAATACGAAAGAACCCATCCATGTTAAGTGTCCCTTGAAGAAGATTGATTTCTTTCTTGTTATTGAGAACTTTTTTCTTATCGTCTTCATCCCGTGAAATTTCAATTTTGGGTGTGCCTACACCATTTACAACACTTGTAGGAACAAATGGGTCATCGACAACAGCTTTCCATATTTCTTCTCCTTGTGCCTCTAGATGTGCCTTCATGCGAATTTTCTAAAAGTCAAAGTATTCACCACAAAACAATGGAGGCTTATTATTGTTATCATCGTCTCTAAAAAATGGGTTTGCATTTGCGGACGTCGTTCTAGATCTTTAAGAACGGGTTATCTATAACATGTCCTGATGTCAATTGTAAGTATGGAATGCACATAAGAAGGGGTGAATTAGGTACTTTAATTTTTTTTCTAATTTTTAGAGTTTAAGTGTTGTATTTTTCTGGTTTATGATTAAGTGACGAAAGTAATAAAGTGCAAAAAAATAAAGAACACGGGGATTAATACTACTTCCTGTCACAGTCCGAGAGTACGTCTGGTCCTCTTACAACATGTAAGATATTTTAATAATTGTTAGAACCTTGTACAAGCCTAATCCTAAACTTTTAGACACAAGCTTCTAACCAATCACTAAGGCAAAACACTTTATGATTCAACCAAGTTGAAAAGAGAACAAAATCCTCTCCTTTTCAACTCTCTTGCTTCCAACAATTCTGGAAAAATAATAAGTTTGAAGATGATGAATATATATCAATTACAAGAATTCATCTTCCCTTTTGAGGCAACTGGAGAAAATGATCAAACAATAAAGTCGCCATCAAATATTTATTTATATTGCAGAAGGGAAAGGAAAACATCAAAGTAAACATGAGAAGGGAGAAATCAAGGTCTCGCGGCCAAGAGAACGGGTAAGGGAGTCGATTACGCAAGGGGGAGGTATTAACACCCCTCACGTCTGTGATACTCCACGAAATCCACTATTGTTGTTCTAATCAAATGGTGTGCCAAGTCTAAAGCTAATAAGCTAAGGGAAATGCATGGATGCATAGTATATACAAAAAGAGAAGTTTTTATTAGTTGTTTCTGTCGCGATTGCGAACCTTTGTGTCTACGTACCACCTTTCATACAATTGGGGATCAGGACACTCGTTGTTCACCTAAAAAGGTGTTTTGGTTTGTTTTGTGTTTTTTAGGCGGGTAATGTTACATTCGCACTCTAGTAGTTGACATATTGCAACCCAACCTTTGGGGAATCACGCGTCGTTTTGCACAGAGTGAAAATAACACATCCTTTTTGTGAAAAAGGTTTTCAAAAGAAAAACCCGAAGGCAAAAGAGTTTGAATTGGTTTGTATTTTTTAACTTGAATAAGGATTTGTGATTTAAATCACACAAAAAACTATGAATGAAATAAAGGACAAACTTTGGGAATTGACCCATTTATCCTTCTCCATTCCTTAAGGCTCGTGAAGTGTGATTCTCATCATTAATTAGTAAGTGTTTTTGAGAAGTTTTGAGAAGAAAAGAGGTTTTAGTTTTAGAGATGCAAAAAGGGGAATGAAAAAGTCTAAGGGAGACTATAGCCCTAATGTTGTCATGTACAGTGGTCTTAAAGTTAAGATAAAGGGGAAAATCCTATCCTAAAATTGTCATGCTTGGATTAAATCCTAAGGTCTATTCAATTCGCATCTTAAAGAAGATGGAACTAAAACTCCTAAGGGAACATGTTATCACAAGCAAATGACAAAGAACGAACAAGAATATAAACCTCAAAAGATATGGCTTAAAAGCCAAGCAAACATCTAAGTGTAAGAATCAAACATCAATCAACAAGTACAAACCAACAAGAGCCTAAACTCTAACATGCCTCGAGTCATCAATCACCAAGTAAGAATGAAAGATGATAATACATCAATTACACATCAATTCATAACTACGCAAATATATTTTCCTTGAGAGAGGGACTCAGATTAAACATTGTCTGCAACGGTAGGACTTCCAGTCATGCATCTCTATCCTACTTCTCATGGCAAGATTAATTGAAAACTATGCAAGGATGAGATAGTAAAGAGATCTCAAGGGATACCAAATGGAGAAGGTTTGTCGCCTTTTCAAACGCGCGCCTAAGCTCAAGAATCCTCGCAGGAGCTTCACCAACAACCAATCGAATTAGTATTCAAATGCCCAAATATTGTGTCAACGATCAACATTGAGTAAGAATAAATCGCAAGTAGAAATTATGTCAGATAAATTCAAGGTATCGGATAAGAATTTCAATTCCTCATCAGATGAAGAATAGCACGACTAGACAAAACTAGGATAAATGGAATATGAAGTAAATGTATAATTAATTAATTAAGAGTTGATCAAATTAATTAATTAAGTTAAGAAAAATTAATTAGCAAGACTAGTTAATTTTTAGTAACAAAATTAACTAATTAAATCAAACTTTAATTAATTAATTAATTAAAAAAACAAAGAGAGGTTAAGAGGAAATAAATGCTTGAACCATCCTTGGAAGCCTTCACAATAACAAACTTGTTAATAACACAAGATGGATTAAAAGAGGCAAATGAACTTGCATCAAATTACATGTATTAGTAACCAAATTTCACAATTAGAAATCACCATACGTGCATAATCAATCAAGAACATGAATCAAATCACAATTGACATCAACTTGTGAATTAACAAGGAAGTGGTAACACAATTAGCAACCAAAAGTTCAATGAGAATTTCAAATCTTACAACACACTTTAAACCACATTAGGAGCACAAACACATATTCTACTCATCAAAATCAATCAACAATTGTGAATAATCTCATGGTATCTCAAATTGAGTCAAGAATGAGCATAACGAGAAATTAAATCAAGGTTTTAGTCCTTTACAAAATCCGGGCAGCAACTACATTACTCGAAAATGCTCAAGAATCTCATCTCAAATAAATTCCAATCACAAGAGAAAGTGAAATTGATAAACAATGTCCAATGATATTCAATCAAGACCAAATTCAGATCACACGAGAGCTCAAAAATGTCACTAAAAATCACCTTAAAATTAGACATTGACACCTTCGAAGCTAACCTGAAACCACTCAAATTATATGAAATTGACACTTAAAATTCAACCACAAATTAACTTTCCAATTATCACAAACACGCTATGTTAACCACCTTGTCATTTATTCATTCAAACCAATTGCAATACATGATGAAGAACAAGTAATGTCATCTCTAAACCAAGTTCATACCATCAATTTCACCATTGATTTAATCACAATTCCAACCAAACAATTTCCACCAATAATGTCAACACAAACCTTCTTGGAATTATAACAATGTCATCAAACAATTCCTCAAGTAAGAAACAATATTATCCAACTTCAACATTAATCTCAATCATTGTCAACAAAACAAATGCAAACACTACTAATTTTTTAACAATGTCATCACTATCCTCCAACCACAAAACTCACATTATCACTACCAACCTTCAATATATCATCACTAGCTCAACCATTCAAAATTGACACAAATCAATAACAATATCCATCACTAATTTCTTCAATCATTCAACAACAACTTCTACAATTTATCAACAATAATGCCATTATCTTTATCATTCCAATTCCAACAATTTAGAACAACAACACCAATGTCATCATTATTAAACAACCCACAACAAGAGCTACATCATCAACAAATAGAACCACAACAAATGGTAGTGAAGAATGCTTACCAAGCAATGAGGAAGGAGGAGTCACTTATGGTGTTGGCCGGTGGTAGCTGTGGGTTGTAGCTCCGGTTGGTGGTAGTGAAGTTACAGAGGGAGTACCCGTATCTGATGATGGCAGTAAGCGGCGGGAGTATCTCAGAAGCAGGTGGGAGTGTTTATTCGGTTCGATGAGTTCGGCGGAGGTACGTAGACGGAGGGTGAGTGATGGTGGTTACGCGAAACAGAAGGCGTGTGGATGTTGCGGTCGGTTGAGAGAAGAGGAAGATGAGTGGTGGTGGCCGGGAGAAATCCGAGTAGATGGAGGGAGTAGGCTGGAAGGGTTAGCGCTCAAGAGATGAAGATGATAGCTACTGTGCCTTCTTATTTGAATTGTAGATCTGAATTCTTTTCTATATGAAGGGACTCGCTTTGTTACATCCCTTGTTAGTGTAGCCTTACAATAACAATTTAATATATAATATCAACTTAGGTTAAGAAATTTATTTAATGTCCAAAGCCTTCTTAATGATAAAATTAACATAAAAACTAAATGATTAAAAAAATACCATATACAAAAATATGTTTGTTTTAATTTTTTGGAATAAAAAAACATTTAAAATAATTTTAAAAAACAGTATAATAAACACAAATATTTAACCGAAATAAAAAAATCAACATATTAAAATATTTACATGTCGTAAAGTTAAATAAAAAATAGGGTAAAATGGTCAAAAGTCAAAAATGAAATAAATTGCGAAATATTCGATTGAACTAACACTGACGATCATCAAAGAGATAGTAAATTGCACCGGAAAATAAATCGAGTACACCGATAAAATCTACGCGGAAGGTAGATTCATAAAGTAGTCAGATAGAGGTCGAAACTCGAAATATCTTATCTATTAATTTCATGTACAGTGTCAAAACACTTTTAATAATTTGTCGAACCGAAATATCAATATTATCGACATATAAACAACCTGGTGTAATACATGAAGCAAGTAAAGAGATAAAAATACATGAAGTGAGATAACGAGTATTTTTTTTAACCATGAAACGATGTAAATATTGATTTAAATTGACTTTTTGTCAACCTAAATACACAAATGACCGACTAATAGCATAAAATACAATGAATGAACGACTGTTTATGCAAATGATCTAATGGAAGCATATGTAGATGAATGTAAAGTCTAAGCCACATAAATCAAGATAAGAGGACAAATTTTGGGGTGCAACACCTTTCAAGTGTATAATTCTCAATATGGTATACAAGTGCTCAAAGATTATAATGCTGAAAATTTCTGGAATGTAATGACAATATATGCAGCAAGTTTCAATCAACGTTTAAAATACAATACACTTGTGTTGAAAATTAGAGAAAGAATGGATTTGAATTGTATTGAAAGAGGTGAAGAATTGAAATCTGTAACATGCAGTATTTATATGACTATCATACCATTTTGAAATAGTGTATTTTGATTAATCAATGCAATGCTTGATGGTACAAAAAAAAATATTTGAATCAGATTTTTTATGAAAAAGTGTCACTGCTTCAGTCGTAACCGGTTAACACATAATCGTAACTGGTTACAGCTGAAGTGTTGCCTTGAGAATTCAAAAAATTGCGTGTGTAATCGGTTACACCTGATCAAAAATGCCACATGACTATTTTTTTGGGTTCATGTAACTGATTAGCACAAAAGGTGTAACCGGTTACCACTATACCAAAATTGAAAAAATACTTATAGAAATTGTTTCAAAGCAGTGGCATGGTATTTCAAAATAGATAACGCATATGTATGGATACGTTGAATAAGTTTTTAGCACAATATGTATATCATAACTTGAATTGCAACTTGTACATATTAGAGAAGATCAAAGATCCTTAGTTAATCTTGATGAAGTTGCTTATGAGACAAGTCTTGATTCATAGCTCTTTTGACATGTTGTTTTACTCATCCCTTCTTGATACATACGCATGATAGGTGTCTTCATCAAAATATAGTATTTGGAGAAGCTTGACTTCACAATTCTTTCATGGAGTTGTGAATAGAAGTCATAAACAGAAAGAAATCCTTTTCTTAATAGTGAATGGGGAAAATTTTACTGACGTTTGCAAAGTGAAAGAGAAAATCATCGAACACTTTAAATCTCAATTCCAATCTAGCGTCAGTAATCTTGTTATGGAAAACTACAAGTTTAATAAAATCAGTGAGGGGTAGAATTCAAGACTTGTAGTAGTCTTCTCTAAAGACGAGGTTAGAGCGGTTGTTTGGGATTGCAATATTTCTAAAAGTCTAGATCCAGACGCTATAAACTTCACTTTCATGAAAGATTTTTGGTCAATCTTAAACACTGACTTCATGTTGACGCTGAAAGATTTCCACACCAATGGCAAATTTGCAAAAGGTGTCAGCAGTTCGTTTTTAGTACTCATTCCTAAGATTTTCTTCCCTCTAAGTTTGAAGGATTATCGCCCCGTTTCTTTAATTGGTTTCATTTTCAAAGTCTTATCAAAGGTGTTAGCTAATCGTCTCAAAAATGTGATAGGCGGGGTGATTTTGGAAAACCAATCAACTTTCATTGTCGGTGATCAAATCCTTGATGGAATCTTAATCGCAAATGAAGTTGTAGATGAAGTTAAGAGAAGAAAAAAAGGATACTCTCATATTTAAAGTGGATACTCAAAAGGCTTTTGATTCAGTTGATTTGGGCTACCTGAGTTTAGTGATGGAGAAAATGGACTTTCATGAAAAATGGAGGAATTGGATACCTTTTGTCTTAATTCCGCAAGGGTCTTTATTTTAGTCAACGGGAGCCCGACCTATGAATTCGGGATGGAGAAAGGAATTAGACAAGGGAATCCTTTATTCCTTTTCTATTTATAATTGCAGCAGAGGGTTTCAGTATTTTGATGAAGAAAGCAGAAGACCTGGGTAGGTTTAAGGGATTCACTTTTGACAGTTTTAAGGAGCATATTTCTCACCTTCAATTTGCGGATGACATGGTGATTATTGGAAAAAGAGTTGGGAGAATGTGAGAACTCTAAAAGTCGTGCTAAAGCTATTTGAGTCGATCTCCGACCTTAAAGTTAATTTTATTAAAAGCTCGCTCATTGGTATAAATATCCCTCATGATTGGCTCAAAGAGGTTGCTAGTTGTTTGGGATGCAAGACTGTCGGCTTACCTTTCAAGTATCTTGGCCTCCTCATTTGAGCGAATCTTAGGAGAAAAATCATTTGGCAACCCGTCATTGATTCTGTGAAAAAATATTATCAAGATGGACGCTTAAAAACTTATCCATAGGTGGCGAAGTTGTTCTCATTAAATATGTCTTGTATGCGCTTCTAACCCACTTCCTTTTATTTTTCAAAGCTTCATCGTGTATTATCTCATCTCTCGAGATAATTTTTAAGCAGATTGTGAGGGGTGGGAGTGAGGAGGATAAAAAGATAAATTGGGTCAGTTGGGATTCTATTTGTAGAGATATAGATAAGGGAGGTCTAGGGATAAAAAAGTTGAGTGGTTTCAATGTCTCCTTAGTTAGGAAATGGTTGTGGTCCAATTATGTCTCTTTATTCGATGAAGGGGACTTACCAGATGGCTCTTCAGAACCCTTCCCCCAAAGTAAACTTGTCTGGAGCGGTCTTCTTCTTAACAATGTTTCCATTTTCGTGTGGAGGTTTCTTCAAAAACAAACTCCCCTCGAGAGACAAGTTGTTTATGAGGGGTGTGTTGAGGGAGTCTCATTCGAAGTGTGTTTTTGGATGCGATAAAACTAAAACCATCAACCATCTTTTTTGCCACTATATCCACATAAATCTAGTCTGCGCCAATTATTCAATTAGTCCTGACATATCTCGGGAAGATTGTATTGTTTTCTTTGATAATTTTGCAGGTTTTCTCGATCGTAGATTAGATTTAGCAAAGAAGCTCTCCTGTATTTGGTCAGTGGTGGCCTGGCAACGGGGCGGGATGGGGATGATTTTTACCTCCTCTAAATCCAAACCCGAATCCCCTAACAATCCTTGTTTCCCGCCTCAAACTTTAAAGGGGATGGAGAATTAAAACTCAAACTCGTCCAAACTAGTTCGGATTGGGTTCGGGTATCCCCGTCCCACCACCATCCATTTAAAAAAACAATTTTTTTAATAGAAATATTTTTTTTCAAAATCAAATTAAATTACAAATAATAAAATAAAACAAACTCAAAAATTATCATACATACATTTCAAATATTTTAAATAATATATACCAATTAAAATATCAAAACATCGGTGACATATTTAATATTCTAAGTTATGACAACAAAATAACAATGTATATAATGAAATAAATTGGACAGTTCGGGAGTGGGTTCGGGTTGGATACTAAGTGTCTTCATTACCCGATCCATCCTCATATTTTATAATCGGGTAAAACCCAAATCTGAACTCAAACTCAATCAAATTGGATTTTTCCCGTCAACTTCAAAACTGGTTCGGGTGGGTAACCGTGGATACGGGTTATGTTGTCATGTCTGGTCGGCGGTAGCTTGGAGGATTTGGAAGGCCAGGAACAACAAAATCGTTAATAACCAAGATTTGAATCTGAAATCCTTACTCGAGGAGATAAAAATTCTATCATGGTGGTGGCTCATACACAAAGGCAAAGACTTCAATCAATCTTTAGGCTCGTGGATGGCAAATCCTCGCGTCAGTCTAAATTTTCGTGCCTGATTTCTGATCAACGTTTGAAGAGGTTTCAACGGCGTCGTTTCATTTTTGAAGGCGGTCTAGGCGCGGTCTGCTTCCACAGAAGTTGTTTCTTTTTTCTGTGAGGACTCAGCGGCATCGTTTCAGTTTCGGCAGTGGTCCAAGCACGAGTTGTTTCTGCAGAAGCTGTTTCTTTTGTTTCTGCGCTCAGTTTCTTTGTTTCACTTGTTCGGCAGCGGCGCGTGTCCATCTTTTTGTGTATTGTTTGTTTCTGTTTTGCTTTGGCCTGGAGTGGTTGTTGGCCTCCTGTTTTTGGTGTTTTTTTCTACTATCTTGTGTTTAGTAGGTTTTATATTTGCCTTGGTGCATTTAGTTTTAGCAGGTTTCAGGTTTCCTGCTGTTTTGCTGTTTTGGCTTTCTGTGTATATGTTTGTTTGATTTTCTGGTTTCTTATTATTTTGGCATGTCTCATGCCTTATTTGGATTCATTTAATATTATTTATTTGTTGCGTCTTCAAACAAAAGAACAACATAAGGAAAATTGTGTTTTGACTTTATCAAAAGTTTTGATTTTATTTTACTTATTATTTTTTCATCACAATTACTATTTTTGGGCTTCTTAACCTGTACCCTGTTTGACCCATATATTATATTTGTGTTTTTAAAAAAACAGGAACAGGAAAAAACCAAAAAACTTTCATGATATTTCACAGCTGATACAATTGTATACGCTATTATGATTTGATTGTAAACACCTAAAGCCTCTGATATCTCTTCAATCCTACAAGTTACAGAAATTGGTGGTGTAAAATGAGCACAAACATTTATATAGAACTTACATTTACAAAGGTGAGGATTGTCATCTAATTGAAATGAATGGCCTATAATCTTGAAATATTTCTTTTTTAATTCAACAGGGAAGAAGAGTGTGCTAGTGATGGATTTCATTAGGCAATGTTGGAAGCTTCTTTCGAAATACATGCTTCCTGCAGCGTTCGAAAATACTGTCATAGATCAAATCAAACTGCACACCTGCTCTCTCGCGATTAATAATGAATAGTACATGATCACCCTCCACATATTTGTAGTACCTGTTCCATCAATTATCGTAATTTGGTCAGTTCAGAAAACAATTTCTCAGAACAAAGGAGAAACTAGGCTAAATTCACAACAAAAAAGTCGTCATTTTAAAAACAGTTTATTAACAATTGCTGCACAATTAAAGCATGTTGAATGGCATTTGAAGAAATTAATAATTGGTTGACCAATATAAACAGTTTGTAGGCCATGAATGCAATTCATGGTCAAAGAAAATAATGCAAAGTCAAGCTCTAAAGCTACAGGTTTGACTCAAACAATGTGCTGTATAATGAACTTATTAAAATATGCAATACTATTGACTATTGAGCCAAAGAACAGGAAGGTAATTTAACAAACCAGATGCCAGGTTGCATGGGTTGGCAATCTGAATCCTTTTCCACAAAACGGTTGGGGTGTTCTATCGGGAATCGAGGATGAGTCATCGATATTGTGTTTAGTGCTCCATCATTGTCTTGCCAGTCCTCGTCCCTGCACACAGAATTACACAACAATTGATTTATCAAGTTTAATTCGTTTTGATACTTGAGTATATTGCCACAGGAAGTCGAAAACAAAACCTATTGCATTTAAGAACCCTACCTGTATCCTTTATAAGGGGGAGAAACATCTGAAGGATGAGTCCACTGGCTCATTTGCAATACTCTTATGAAAAGCAAAGGATGAACTCCGAGTATGCTTGAAGGAGACGTTATGCCCATGATCTTCCTTGTCTGCTTGGTCGCGTAGCTAAAGTAGTATGTGTTTGGGAATGTTTGCAGACGGTAGTTGATTTTTATAGACCCTTGAATTGAAAGATCGGGAAGGATCCAATCCTCGGATGCAAATGGACCTGAATTCCCCATAAGGCAATCAACAAGACCCCATACACCAATCTTTCTCCATGACATCTTGAAGTGATCAAAACCAAAATTGTAGTAGTTTTTCAACCAGGCAATGTCTAACCAATCATATAGTATCACCCCAATTCGGCAAAGCTGTAGCAGGCAAATAGGTTTCAATGTTTTCCCATCTTCCGGCCTGAAACAGTAATAGATACTAGCTTAGCACCTACAGATAATAATTTGAAGGAAAAAAATGCATAATTGAATGTAGTCAGACACGCTTTCAATCTGAAGTGCCGGTTCTACACGCTTTCAATCTGAATGTTGCTTGAAAAAAGCTCATAAAATTCAGCTGAAGAAAAAAAGCACATAATCTGCTGAAACAAGAAGTATAGCCAGATAGATAGAATTCTTAATGTACAATCCCAATTACTGATCTTTTACCATTCCATTTTTTCTCCTAGGGACTGTTGCATGCTGTCTTAAACGCCCATTTTCAAGCCAACAATGTTATAATAAGAAAGCTATTTAAAGTCAATATCTCTAAATACTTTTATAGGTTTAAGCAGAAACTAAAGTTAGGTAGAACTCACTGAATGCCATCAAAGTATGTCCTTGTAGTACCATTAAATGCCCCGGATAAGGATGTGATGCTTATCACCCAGTTTTCTGAAGTGTGTTCATATCCCTTGAATGCCTGAAGACAATATGAAAATAAAATTATCAAGAAAGAAAAAAAAACATAATTAAACACAACTTTTTGCGAGCATTTGCCAATAGAAATCGTCATGAAATGAATTTTGTAAAGGTAATTTGATTCAAATTGATGGGCTATTTTTACTCTAACTCCAAGTTTGATGTAAAAAGTACAAATTAGAGTAAAAATTAGAAATTAATGCCGAAGTTGTTTTCTATCAATTATAGTCAAACCAACGTTTGAATGCACAACATTTCTAATTTAAAATAACCAACCGTGCACGTTTTTTTACCGAAATCAAAACTACCTTGTACAATATCCAAATATGCAAGAAAAACATAACATTAAAACCAAGACCAACCTTATCAGCAAGCATTTGTTGCAAAACACGAACAACCTGTGCTCCAGCAGAATGTCCCACAAAATGAAGAGGGTGATCCTCATCCCACTCAGAATAATGCCCTTTATATACCAAAATAACCAAACAAAACACTTATAATAAATAAAAAACATTAAAAAAAACACAAAGGTAAAGTGAAAAAGAATAGCCACAAACAACAAACATAACATGAAGATCTCCAATCTCCAAAAATGTCCAAACCTTGTTCATAGATTCTTCCAAACTGCGAGTGTCCACACTCCTTGCTGTGTTCTTCACCATAATCAACTTGTCCTCCTTTTAAATAATAGAACAATTCCCTTGCCCTGAAAAACAAAATTTTCATAACCCTTTTAAGAATTTTCACAAACACAAAGCATGCAAACAAAACCATTAAGATAAAACCTCCCAAACCTTAACCCCTTTAAACCCTCACCTATCATAAATACTTGTCAAAGACCCTAAATCAGGAACAAGAACCCTTTCGTCTTTCTTCTCTGCTCCAGCAAAGTATGACAAACCACCCAACCTCTAATAAATAAATAAAAAAACAACATTAACAAAACAGAAACAACAACAAAAAAATGTAAATTTTGAGACACAATTACAGAAACAGAACAGTTGAGAATTGAGCATTACCCCTTTGCCAAATCCAAAAATTCCATGAACCAAAACAATAGGAGGAAGATCATCCCCAAATTTGGATAGATTTTCATCAAGGGTAAATTTATCTTTAACCTCGACAACATTCATATTAGGCTTCTGAAAATATTCATTGAGAACCTGAGATAGATCCCCAGCAACAGCTGAGCTAAATATGTAAAACCCATAAAGCAAATGAACCAAAGAACTCACAAACAGCTCCATCAAATGAAGATAACTGAACCATAATCTCAACATTTTTTTTGACCCAAAAGAAAATAATGAAAGTTCCAATTGTTTGCAACAAGAGCCTTCTTTTTAGCTCCACAAAAATCCACCAAAAGAAGGCTCTTGTAAGGAGAATAAAGGGTTGAAATAAATATTAAAAAAAAATGTTTCAACAAACCCTTGTTGAAGGTGATAGAAAAGCCTTTGATTTTACATGAGAATTTTGCTATAAAAGTTAAGAATGAATGGAAGAAATTGAAAAAGGATGAAAATTTGTGCTGTTGATGTTGTTGTGGAAATATATATGCGGTTTTGGGGTTTTTTTAATTCTTTGAAATGCAAGTATGGTGAGAGTTTCCCACATTTTCTACGTTTCCTTTCTCTACCTCATAAATAAATCATACTATTGGTGATTCACAAAGTAGTTGCCATCTGTTTACTCTTTATTTGTCATTGCAATTATCAACCATTTGATTTTATTATAATTAAAATAATAAATACTTCCTCCATGCTAGTATTCCATAGTTGCACGCATTTATTAAAAAAAAATATGATATACATGTTAAATTTGATATTCTCGTCGTTGACGATCATTAAGATAATTAATGAAGGTCATTAGAAATTTGTCAAGTTATCTTGTAATGGATTCCTTCTATTGTATTAACTTTGTGTTAATGATGTTCATCTTTTTGCGAAGATTTCTAACTCCGTGACACGGATCATTTATGATTTCTTAAATCATTTTATCATGTTTGTTGGCCTAAAGTGAAAGTTGTTAAATCAAAAGTGCTCTTATTCAACTAAAATGGATTCAATTGTCTCCCATACATGTATCAAGTGAACTCTTACTCTAGAGAAGTACTTGGGTTTCTCTATGTTACACGGTCGTCTTCAACGCAAGGACTTTGAGTTCCTATAGGAGAAAATTAGTCAGAGTTAGCATCTTGGCAACATAAATTGTTAAACAAGGTTGGTAGTTTGACTTCGGTAAGGTCTATTCTGAAATCCATACTAAATTATTATAAGCAAGTGGTTTGGCTACCTCAGTCAACTTCTGAGTTTATTGATATGATGGCTAGGAAATTTTGTGGAAAGATAATTCTAACTCTAGTGTACATCTCGTTGGCTGGAATAAAATCACTAAGCTCAAAATGCTAGGTGGTCTTAGAATCTGAAAGCAAGAAAGGTTAATTAATACTTCTATGATTCCCTATTGGTCTAAGTTTTGAAGTATAAGTACACCAATGAGGAAACATTCATTGATATGAAAAAGAAGCTGAAATCAGTTACTTGGAATGCAATTATGAAAGCTCTTTTTGCTCTTAAAGATGGATTTGATGTTGGATTGGGGGATGGGAACTCATCTTTCTAGTTTTTAAATTGAACGGGGGTCGAGAAACTAGCGGAGCAGGTTCACTATGTGGATATCCATGAACTGAAAATGCGGGTGAATGATGTTAACTTGGATCGAAATTGGAACTTCAATTCATTATATACTAATATTTCTCCAATTGTTTGTGATCGCCTAAAAGCGCTTCCCATTTGTTTGAATCCTCTGGTGCCTGATAGATTAATGTGGAAAGGAAATTTAGATGGTATGTATATTGCTCAGGATGGTTATAATTGGCTCAACAGACTTGAATTTGTTTAGAAATACAACATAAAATAACTCTTGGAAATGGGTATAGCATATTCCTGCTCTTGAAAGGGTGAAATTCTTCTTTTGGACGGCTTTACATAAGTCTCTTCCTAGAAGATCGATGTTGTATCATTATGGTATGATGCAGACGAATATTTATCCTAGATGCAATCAGGATGCTGAAATGACTCTACATTGTCTAAGAGGCTGTGAATTTGTTACTCGCTTTTGGAAATCTATTGGCTTCTTGGACTCTTTATTCTTCCAATGGGATCGTTTATATGATTGAATTAGACATGACATCAATGATGGCTTTATCTTTTAGCTATTTGCTGGTGGTTGTAGGCTAGAAACAAAATGTATCTTACGAATAAAGTAGTATCTTCTTATACTTTTAAATTCATCACAATGAACTATGTTAATCTACTAGCTAAATGTTTTCCCAAATACAATATGTCTCATCCAACAAGAAAGATTATGTGGATTGTATTTGTTTTGGTGGATTTGAAATGCTGATGGTACTTGGGTTCACAATTTTATGCGTAATATTGGTTATTCCAATATCCTTCATGTTGAGTTGATGGCGCTATATCATGGTTTACACATGGCTAAGAACTTGACATCAACAACCAGATGTGTTATTCTGATTCAAACTCTGCTATAAAGCGTATCTCATAGTTTATTAATATTTGATATCACTATGTTGTGATTATTCATAGTATTAAAGAGATTCTCTCTAGGAAATGGTGAGTTCAACTATTTCATAATCTCAGAGAGGGGAATGATTATGTTGACTATCTAGCAAAACATAGGTTAACAAATGATGTGGTGTATTGATCCTTTGTGGAGCCTCCTGTTAGAATCATTACTCTCCTGCTAGTTGATGCTAGTGGGACTTTATTTTTTAGATAATTTTCTACTTTTTTTTCTTTTCCTTTTACCACTTGTACCAAAAAAAAAATATTTGTGACCTTAATTATGTGATGTTCATGCAAAGCCTTAATGTGGAATCTAAATAAGTGATCCTCTTTTTCAGCCCTTCTCTGTTGTATTTACAGTTGTACTCTATTGTATTTAGGTATTTTTCACTCTCTCGACACTAATGCAACTTTATTAAAGAAATATAGAATAGAGAAGAATAGAGCATAAAGTGAGGTAGAGTAGTTTAAACTTCAAAAATTAGTGTGAAATTGAATGAGAAAAATCTCCCTATTTATAGAAAAATAATTGGCTCAAAAAAGAAATGATTCAATGGCATTTTTAATGTCTTAATCAATTAACTTAGTCGTTAATCGATTAGACAACTCTAATATGGACAAAATTTAATATGTCGTCATTAATTGATTAAAGGCTTCTATAATCAATTGGAGGAATTATAAATATGTTAATTGACTAACCATAATTGGGTAATCAATTAACCAGTGTAAAAGTCCTCCTAATTGATTTAACAAATGAATAATCAATTAAGGATGCATATCAAAATATTATTAGGTGTTTTAAAACACATTTGTGTATGTGTGTGTGTGTGTGTGTGTGTGTGTGTGTGTGTGTGTGTGTGTGTGTGTGTGTGTGTGTGTGTGTGTGTGTGTGCACGTGCTAGTTGCCTTAGCATCTCGATAATTACTATTATACCTTTAAATTAAACTTATCACTCACACATGGACTAAGTGCGGGATCAACTGAGCTTTCACACTTCCTCTCTTTCACAAATTTTTGAGCCTTATGTTCTCTTGCTTGACTCAACATTGATTTGGAACTTTCAACTAAAACTTTACTCTTATGACTGATAAGGCTTGATATAACTTCTTTGATCAGATGCCATCATCAAAGTTTGTTGGACAGTTTTCACTAAAAACTTCAGTGAACGTTGTTTGACTTTAGGTGTTGTTATCATTAAGGTGGCTTGACATTTTATATCACTAAGAACATCTTGACCATTGAACTGTCTTAGTAGATAAAGACTTGACAAAATTTTGTTTGACATAAGATGTTGTAATCATCAAAACCATCACAGTTATCTAACGGTTGTAGACAATTGTACCTATAAGCACACAAATCCATATATGTTACATCATTATGGATATTTATTGTATTATTATTTGTTTCAGTACTAGCTGCAAACTTCCTATTAAAAATTGTCATATGACTCTAGGTTGAGTTAGTTTCCTGCCTCAAAGTCTAATTAACAT